ACCTCCTTTTGTACCTTCAACTATATCTATAAGATCTAGGGTATTTAACAATCTGAATAATTTAGGGATTAACTTAAATAAAACATTTTCAACAACAGTAAGAAGTCTTAAAGTTTTATTTTGTTTTAATTTTAATATTTAGCCATTTTATCTGTTTTTATTTTAACTTTAATTTGACATTCAATTAATTTATTTTATTTGGGTTTTAATTTATTTATTGTAACGTGTGATTTAGTGTGAAATGACTGACATCAATAGCTTGATTGGAGGACAAAGATTTTTTTTAGGAGTGTTTTGATATTGCATTAAAGCAATATAATATGAATCATTATTACATTCCTTAAATTGTATGTACTTACAATTGTATTAATTGTTTGTATTGATCTTTCTGCTAAACCATTAGATTGAGCATAGTTTGGACTTGAAATAACATGCTCTAGGTATACCTCAATCAAACATAAATTGTTTAAATTCTTATGAGCTAAATGGTGAACCATTATCTGAGACTATGAAATACGGTATTCCAAATATAGCAACTATTGGTTTTTAGATGTTGAATGACAGAAATACTTGTAAATCCTAATGATAAATGTGCAATTTCTTTAAATTTGGAATCATAGTCTACAACTAATAAATACATGTTATTATCAAAATGAAGTGTATCAATACCTAGTTAAAACCAAGTTCCATTCTTTTTCTTTTTAATGCCCAACTTTCAAAATTTCGTTTAGCTATAATTAATGATTATCAAATATATATTTTAATAAATTAAACACAGTTAGCAAAAATCCACAGTCACAATAGCCAATAGGAAATGTAAAATAAAAATAATAACACCTGATAAAATATTAAATAATACCATAGGGCATAGGCCATAGAGTAGGAATAGGTAAATTATATTATTGTACTTGCTTACTTTATACTTTATAGCTCATTAATGTTTATGGAAGAGAAAATTATATTTTAGACATTAACATTCATACGCATTGTTTAAAAATAGAACAAATCGAATTTATTACGATACCAAGATATGTATATGAACATTAAACGTAGATACTAGATAGTAGATACGTCATACTTAGCTATCACTAATCGAAAAATTATTTATTATTAATATGGTTCTTTATTTTTGTTATTAGAATATCGATTATATTTATTTATATTTACATTTATACATTATTTAGATTTAGCACGATAGTACATACAACAAAATAGATGTGTATTTATACGGGTATCGATGAATTTATACAGAGGCCTCTAGGCCCGAATGCAGGTTAATGCAGATTAATACAAATATTACAAATACGCATTAATACTGTATAGCCACCAGGGATCCAGCCAGTATTATAAAAATTTACTTTTATATTATTATTTCTTTTTAGTTTTTTTGGGATTAGGGCTTTTGAGTAAAATATTAATGGGGGCCTACTGGGAAAATTTCCCGATGGGCCTATCCGCCCACGTGCATGCCTTACTATTTGTAACAATAAGTTTTACTTCAGGGTTTATAATAGGTTAAAATATTAAATCTTTTATTAAATTTGTACATATTTCTATTTCCATGTGATCTCCATGAATTATTTTTAATAGCTTTGATTTTTTAGGAATGAGTAAACTTTTGTTTTTAAAAAATGAGTTATCAATTACTCTTAGATCTTTTTTATAAGTCCAATATGGTTTAAGTGTGTCATCAATTTATTTTTTATTTACTGGTCAACCATTTTTATAATTTTATTTCAGTTATTTTTTGAATGACTAGATCGTTTAATGTTTCTTTCTTTATCAAATTTAATTAATTTTTTGAAATAGCTAAGTTTTGAATTCAATTTTGAACTTGCAAGATTCTATCATCTTCAATTCCACCAACTTCAGTTAAACTTATGTTTCACCTATGTTAGAACAATTGAACCTTTAATATAAATATTTAACTATAAAAAAATTTTCAAAAGAGTAAGTTTGACGAATTTTCTTATAATTTGAACTTCTAATGCTTATAAAAAAAAACTATGTCTATGTAACTATACAACTTTTGAAAAGCTAAAACAACTTATGGTTACGAAAATATTTTATACTCTTAAGTGAATTATTGATTAAGTATATTAAATTTTTTCTCGTAACTAATCAATTGTTCACCAATAGATTTTAACTTGCTCATTACATCAGCTGCCTACCTGAACGAAGTACTTGCCTGTGAGTTGGAAGTTGAAGTTGTTTTTTTCAAAATCTGATTTACCGTTATGCGGCGTTTTAAGATACAATAAGCAATAAGTCGCCGATAGCAGAGTAGCTAATCAAATAAGGACCGCACTGTACGACAAGTAAAACTGTGGTTTAATAACATAAATAAAGTATAGAAATTAATACTAAAAACACTCTGAATTCAACATTATTATTTCGAGCACCGGAGCACCTACTACACATTTGCACTATATCGGCATGGAATGGCGGACAGTTTCCCCCCGGACATTTTCCCCCCGACTGTTTTTGGCGTAGTAGGACATTTTCCCCCCCATTTTTTTTTTAAGTTTATTATTTATTATTTAATAAGAAATTTTTTTCTTTTTCAGTAAAATATAATTTAAAAAAAAAATGAAATTAACCTATTTTACTTATATACAATTTTTTTATGTCTTATTATATTTATGAAAAAATGGGGGGAAAATGTCCGCATCGGAACATTTTTCGGGGGGAAAATGTCCTACTACGCCAAAAACAGTCGGGGGGAAAATGTCCGGGGGGAAATTGTCCGGATACCATCGGCATGTCACTCATTACTAAATAATTTTATTTTTCGGTGACAAGTCTACACGAGTATAACAAACCTGTAGATTTATATTATTTTCATGGTTTTTAATCGACGGGATACAAAAGAGTAACCCTCACCAAATCCGGGCAGCGGGAAATAAGCGGTCCTACCGGATACTAGTCCGAAGCAGATTAAAAAATAAATATAACTAAATAATTATAGAGGTCATATTTTGTCGGTCGGACGAGAGATTGTTAGATATGGGGTTAAATACTTTCAATAAAAATAAACATCAATTGGAATGTTTTATTATAATGTACTAATGTATTCATAATAGACGAATTATGTACTATACGTACATTTTTGTTAATAGTGACATGGTTTTAAATCCATGACAATATCTGAATATCGCTGTCTTTCTAACCTTTAGACATTTTATTGAGATAATAGTAAAATATAAGTGGATCTGTAAAGGTATATTCAAACAGAAAGCAAGCTGACTTCGTTTCCTTTGTAAAATAATTAAATATTACAACCAGATCGCTGCTCACCGAGACCGAGGTTTGCCCGCTCTCTGTAAAATAATCGTTTTAACTAAAGAGCCTAAAGCGTACAGTTTAAAACATTGATATTATACATATGGATAAAGGCATAAAGCATTCACTAAACATGACTACAATTATATTCTAGAAAAAATTCAGTTAGATGGACAATTATTTTGGTCCCGATTCAAATACATAATAAACTTCCTATATTATAATTTATAAAACATCAAGTTATACATTATAAATTATAATACTATACAAGTAGGTGTATAAAATAAGAATTGTATTTTTGTTACAGTCAGTAATATTATACATTATTTACTGAGCGTGTACAGCAGTAGCGAGAAGTGAGGTTTCTGGTTGGGGAAACACTGAAAAAAACTAATACGAGATAACTAATACGTCTGGACACTCCTTCTATTTTATCTATACAGCAAGAAATAAATGTTCAAAAATTAAAAACAAAATGAAATATAATATTTAAAACGTTATAACTTCCATAAAATTTAAAATAATAATCGAATATAATAACAAATATATTTTAGCAAACAAAATAAAATGTTATTTAATATACTGTATACATGCAACTCGCATTAAGATGACGTTTAAAAAACAAATTTACATTAAATCTATATTTCTATTTTTGTCTTAGAATATAATTCAATAAGGGACATGGTTTTTATTTTTTAATTGAAATTTTTTTCTTATGAATAGTTAATTATTTCATCGTTCAAAATGGTTAAATCATCAGCCATGAGAACAAATTACAAATTACTTTATAAAAACAATAAATATTTAGAAACACGTACGATGTACCTACCACGATGGCGTGACTACGCGACGGCGACGTCAATCATGAAGGACATGAGGTATAACCCATCAGGCATTACGAACGGCGAGACGCGTCTCATAGCGTAGATAGTAAACCCCACTTACATTAAAAATCCCCATGTACCCGCGCTCTCAAATTCGCGAGACGTTGCGTTGCAACCTTTATTTAATATAATACCATATTTGGAATGACCCGCACCGCCAGCTCGTTCCCACAGCCCTCATATAATCTATTTTAAGAATTCTATGAATGTACAACGGAAACCCGATTTTAACGAATATTGAAACATACATCATACTTATACGAAATATCGTATAAGATATATAAATTCAAATTTTTAAATATCTTATAAAACATTATTATTTTTTTTCCCGTGTTTTAATTTCTAAGTGGGGAGACATTGTCTCATTGCCTCCTATGACGCTTCGCCACTGGTGTACAGATTTTTAGGTGTGTCAGTAAATAATAAATAATACATAATCAATACAAATTTTAAAACTCATTTTATTGCAATAATAATAAAATAATATTTAAATTATTATTTAAGTGGCCAGGGTCTGACCAGTCGGACCAGACAATCATTATTGTTTTGTCATATGCCACGCAGAAATTGGAGCGACGATGGATTATACTGTAAGTACATGTGTTCGTGTTATCAACGTTGTATATAAATATAATAGAAGTATTCAAGTACGTGGTACCACCTACAACGGAGTAGCAGTTCGATCTGTCACCCCACCCGGTGGCCGGCGGCTTCGGGGTCGTGGCTGTTATCAGCATCAGATTCAGCAGCTGAGCTGCGGCTGCGGCGTCGGTGGCGTTGTCATTGGACACGCCCGGCGGCGTGAGTATTGTATACAGGATATAGTGATAAGACGTCGCGCGCGCGTCGGCAGTCGGTCCGCGGTCGCCCGTCAGTTCGCCTCGCCGTCGGTCCTCGGTTACATCGTCGTGTTTATTATACTGTAGTTATGTGTTATAATTTTATTCTTCTCGTTTCCCTCCCGTTGCCGGACAGCTGAATATCTTGGTTTCGTTTCGTATCATAACCACTATAGGTAGATACCTACAACTATAATACAAGGGCAGTATACTAGCAATAATATTATTATCATTGCCGGGGACGTGCGCGCGCACGCCGCCAACCACCCGATCGTTGGACGCAGAGCTCCCCGCTGAGGGTGCCATAGAAGGAAGTTACTACGAGGAGAGGGAAGAGCTTGTGAGGGTTACAACCACCGTCATCCGCGCGATCGCGCCGGGAGCTGCGCTGTAGCCGTACGCGCCCGTGCTGCCAACGGCGGCCAAACGTAAGACGACCCTCGACGATTGATCGGCATAATAATATTTTATTCCGAATTATCTATTAAAACAGATCTTTTAATCTATTCAGATCATTGATCTTCTTAGATCCTTTAATCTATAAAATATAATACGTAGATGGTGGGCTGCAATAAAAAATAAAAAAAGTATGGTAATTATTTATTTTAGTGTAACGAAAATTTGACGACATCGATGATTATAAATTTATAACGCACGGTGGTATTGTAGCGTTTTTACCTATATATGTCGGCATTCGGCGTATCGAATAGAATAGGACACAAGGAAATCGATCGAATAATTTAAAATATGTAACTAATATTGCATTTTAAACCTTTGCAATGCGTGTTATACTGCGTCGAGGTTGTTCTATATAATATATTATATATCATCGGTAGAATGTGAGCGAAGAGGGGTGACTTTTTGTTCGTATTGTTTCCCGACGGTTACTATATTGGTAATGTAGGTACCTATTATACTACTATAATTTCACGGGGGTAAACGTTCAGAATAAAAGTATACACATACCTACTTATAGGGTTTCTGACGATGAAATGTCCTAGCACTGTTATACGCGACCGGCAAACGTGATTCGATTTCGAAAGCGTATTGCGTATAACGTATACCATTAATAATACACTAAGTGATTTTTTAAGCATGCTTACCCTATTTTTATGCTTAAATTATACATTTATTCAAATTCCAAATTTTTGAATTTTTAAATACATTCTAAGACTATTTTTGAACCATTTTTTTTTCTGTTTGAACCGACGGCGCCGCAGGGACTGCTTTCGCATTACTGCCGCGACGCCGCAAATATTTTTGAACCTAACCTAATCAGTAATCACTTAAGAATGATCCTGTTACAATTGTTAAGAACCAATGATTATATGTTAGCATGATATATAATAGCTCGTATAATAGTGTTTAACAATATTGTGCAACGGAAGGATTTGCAAATTTAGGCAAACGCTGGCTACAGGCCTGACTCGTATTGCAAGCCGTTGGATTTTATTAGGGTATTAAGACAGAACATTATTACTCTCGCCCGAGCATTCTTTTTGTCTGACCATTTTATAAAACATTATATTGATCTTTAATTGTATTGTAAATTTTCTTTTCAATTTTAAATATAGAAAGTAATAATATTAGTTCAAAAGCGTCTATTTAACTTATATGTGCACGGACATCCATGGACATCCGTAACTCAATACACACTTCCATTTTTCAAAAAGTATCCTCCCTTTTTCATTTTTAATTATTAAAATCAAGAAGATTTTTTTTTTTGAGAATTCAAGCTAGTAGTTTTTGAGTTATATTACTTTGTGTCCTAAGGATAATATGTACATGGCAATGGGTTAAGTATACGCAAGGCATATGTGATTTTAAAATGTTTGTAATTACTCAATAGTTATCAATATAAATAATTTTTACAACTGATCCGAGTATAATAAATACTACATCTAGTATTGTATATGTAGTTTATATTTAATAAAAACCATTTTTACAAATTATTATCCTTGGTATGAATACTTTTATAACCCAGAAACTACTGATTTTAATTTTGATTTAGATACGTCAGAATTTTAAAGAAAATCATAAACCAAAAAAAATGCAGTAAAAAGGGGGAGGGGGCTCTCATTTTAAAAATAAAATTTTGTATCCCCACAGAATAGTTAATATTACAACAAATATCATACATTTGAAAATATGGTCTTTAGGTATACCTACTTAAAAATTCTAAAACTCAGAATTTGAATAAATTAACTTTTAGGCAAAGGGAAAAATGGGGGTGAGTAATGAGCGTGCTTAAAAATTACGTTTTATACTAGTGCATAGGTAGATCGCTGTAGACATTTTCTCCATTGCCCTTCCATTTCACCTAAAAAATGCTATTTTTTTTTACCTTCAACTTTTGGCCTTTGAGTTTTACTTAGGTGGCATATTGTAAACTGTACTCAGTGCATCAGGAGTGGAAGGAATAATCTAATTAATAAATTAAGCATAGAGTATTTATATAATATATTATACAGTATACATATAAACGATTCGATCGATATTCAATAATAAATATTTTGAAAATGATTTCAATACTTTGTGTTACTTTTATGCGTCAACAGAAAAATTATAGGCGTTTCGTAGTGCCGTAGTCATGGAACTTGATGGCCCATGGGCCTATAGGGGGCGGAAGCTACCTTAAACACAGAAATTAAATTATTGAATAATGATATTAGAAAGAGTCTAATACTAGATGTTAATAATAATAATAATAAAAAAAAAAATAATACTATTTTTTCACTTCTTTTACAAATGTATTTATAACAACAAATTTTTATACTTAAAAATGACCTCAAACTATGTAAGTACTATATTATTCGTTGGTGTAATTAATATTTTTGGAAGAAATTTTGAATTATCACGTACTTACATAGTAATATTAATAAACAGTATACGAATTTATAAGATAATATGTTGAATGTGATTATTTTCTAAACACCTAAACTTACATTTTAAATCATACAATTTTAACTTGAAATAATTTAAAATTGTTTTTATCACAATGTAAAAATGTAATAATAACTAATAACTCAAATTATAAAATTCAAGATACATATAGGTAGCTGGTAATTGGCATTTTATATTGTTATGTTTGTTCAACATAGTTTCTATTAAAATTATAGTATCAACTAATAAGTCACATAATACATTACAAATGTGCACTGTGAAGATTTGTTATAACTTGTGTTAAAGTGAAATAAACAGAAAAATATTTATTTTTTGATTTCTGTTTGTGTCACAATATTTTGATCATAATATAGCATATACTAAATCGGCGGAAACAAGAATCAAACCTTTTTTTTTAATATTGGCGGAACAAGCAATGGCGGAAACGAGAATTTTTAAATTTGGCGGAAACTAGTTATTGTCTCATAGCCATCCGTGCATAATATTTTTATCACTGTAAAGTGTAGAGTAATCTAAAAATGTGTTAATAAAAATACGCTATTCATAATATATTTTTGAGATTTCGAGTTTCGGTATATAAACTGCTTAGTAAAAACATTGTATTTCCTACATCTTTACCATTAACCATCAAAATTGAATTTTTATGTCTAAATTAATTTAATAATATAAAATATTTTTCATATTTTTGTGATTTTGATGAATTTCATCAAAATTTAACGTCCAATGCTTCTAAAAACGTTGAACTAAAATTATTAGTTTCTATAAATAGCACAGAAACAGCTAAATTCTTTTGAAAATTATAACATGTGTGAAAAATGTTAATATAAGTATTTGGTGAAAAATTTAAGTCTTTACTGTTATCCATTTTTGTAAAATCACTAAAACTCAAAATCAAATTTGTCAAAAACTAGTTTTGCGTAAACATCTCCGAAAACGAATTATTCAACTTCCTCATAACTTTTATACTTTATTGTTTAAATCATCTTTTTTAAAAGTTATCATATATCATAAATTATAATACCTATATTTATTTTAAAAAGAATATTTGACTTCTAAACATACTACCTTATTTGATCTTCTGAAATGTGATCTGTAATCGTTTATAAGTATAGTACATTTATTATATTATTATCTTATGAATACTAAGTAGATCATATTAATTATACAGGTTGATTTACTAAGCATTCTCATCCCCATTTTAGATTTTGAGCGTAGCAAATGAATGTATTGTTTTTAAAATTATTTGTGTTTTTCTTTTTCTGTGTCCGTCATCAATTTTCGACTTAACCTTTTTTCTAATATAGAAGTGGATATTTAGTTGGTGCTTTTGAGAGGTCAAAATTAAAATTCTCACTAGTTTCAGAAAGCGTAAGGAAAAACAAAAAAGTGGTAATTTTTATGGACCTCTTTTACCCTCAGAAGTTGGAACACAAAATTAAACAACCCAAAAACTACTCGCATTATGATTCCGCTCATGCTTGGTATGAATATCTTAAATAAATAAATATGTTCCACTCTAACAGTGGCATACTCAGACATTTTCAATTGGGGGTTGTGGGAGTAATATTCTAATATTCACCCCTCCCTCATTAGAGTATACGCTAATGCTAACAAATAATTGAATTATAAATTTATAACTTTTCAATTAGTTTGGTACCTAATATGTTTCACTTTTTATTTTATGATGTTATGTTGTTTCAAATATTTTATTAATTTATTTTAATTTCTAAGACATTAATCCAAGTGGTAATTTACTATGTAACCTACTTACAGTTTATTTATGACTCGTAAATTATGAGTACTCATAAATATAATATTAAACAGGTAAGCAAATAAGACAAACTTACAAAGGTAAATGTTGACTAAAAGCCGGGGAGCAATTAAATAATCATAGGTATAGGTTTCCTGTCTTTTATAGTTTTTTTTCCTTTTTTTTTTGTTCAGGAAAATAATCAATAAAACACATTATTTTTATAACTAAGCTATTCATTTTTATTCTATACTACCTCATTAACCGTAGTTTTAATTTTATACTATTTACTTAATACTATATAGTATGTAGTAACTAGTAAAGATCTATGTTAAATTACTTTTTTATTTATATAAGCTATTCATAATTTATTGTAACTAATAATTATTTACTAAAAACATATATTCATTATATTTACACATATATTTTATAGATATTGATAAGCAAGAAATATAAAACGTGGGGGGAGGGCAAAGTCAAATAAATTTACCACATACAATAAATTAAATTCCTCATAATATGAACTGGTTTTGGATATAATTTTTGTTTCTTAATTGATAGCTGGCCCCGACATTTTTTATTACATACCAGAATATTGTGAATACAAGGACTCTAAACAAAGTGATTCACCAAGCATGCTCTCACCCATTTTTTCGTTTAATAATAGATATATTTATTAAAATTCTGATATTTTGAATGTATACATTTAATTAAATACCATATTTAATGCCTAAATAATTAATTTTACAAAAAAGAGATTGTCATATTTTGAAAAACAGATTTTTGTACATATCTCCACAGAACACATCTTAAGTAGTACAAAAATGTCAAAGATTTGAAAATATGGTTTTTAAGTATATTTAAAAATTCCAAAAATCATATTTTGAATAATTAAATTATTCATGAAGAAAATGGGTTGAGCTTGCTTGGTGAATCATCCTGTAGATACAAGTTACAAATTATTATAAATATTATAACTTATCATTTAATGAAGCAATAACAATTATCTGGTTTTGTAGTTTATTCAAAATAAATATTCTATGTCACAATTCTTTCTGGTATTATAATCTGTTGACACTTTGAGTAATCTGTAATATCCATAGTTTGACACAATATCTACACCAAAAAAGTAGTTATGGTATTATACGATAGTTAATTACTAGTATACTTTCACTTTGTCATATCAGCAATCTTATTATCAAAAACGTTAATAATTTAAAAACAATAACCTTAGTGATAAAAAACATATTATTTAATATTATATAAGTTAAACAATTATAATCGGCAGTTCGTTTTAAATACGTCTTGTGCTTATCGAAATTTAAGTTTTATACCTTTCGATAGCACAATACTCATATCGACGCTCGGAAAGGTAATATGTTTTAATTAATATAACGCCCAACCGTCGCATATTCACGTTTTTCAAGATTTCGAAGAAACAGAATTTTTTCCTTCAACCCAAAGTATCTCGAAGAATGTACACTGTGTCTTGTACACCAAATGAAACACATAAAAGACTAACGTCTGAGTCGTCGTTCTCTTAGCCTCCGAATTCTCCAAATATTTTATTATCATATACCACTACTAATAATAAAAAAAATAATCAAGAAACCTAAAATACAAATTACAATCTTGATCAAATTCGTCAGAGAGCCTGGATATAAAGTTGGATAAAGGACTAAAACTAATCGATGAATATTTTACTATTAATGACCTCTTGGATCTTACTAATTTAAAAACATCTTAAATAATTTCAATAATAAAGGTATGAATATTCACACCACGTGAAGTACAACCACTCAAGCTGTAGTCCAAGCTAAGCAACCAAATGTTCACACTATAAACAAGAAAACATTTGTTTTGCAACATCCTTTTTGTTTTCTCGATATCAAAAATACAAGAAAAGTTCTTATTATTTAAAATTTATTAGGCACTTATTTAGTTAATTAATGATAAGTAATTATTAATTAAAAGAACTCACCATTATTTCATAGAAGTACTTTAAGAAATCAAAAGGTTACAAGAGTATTAAACTGTATGGTAAATAGACTAATCTAAAATTTAAAATAAAAAAGGTATTCTGACGTAAATAAGTCAACTTCAATAATATTATTGTATTGAATAAAAAATGCGAATGTAATAATTGATAATTGTAGATTTTATTAACTTAAAATCATTTTTGTTCACAGTCACTGTTGAGGATGGTCACTGTACGGGCACCGTCATTTCTAGTTCGGCGAATATGCGTCTTCATATTTTTAGGAATCATGGGTTATTCGATTTTTCAAATGACCCGCAGCAATACCTATTACGATATGACAGATCGAAACATTATGCGGTACGTTGAACTAAAATTGCTTTTTTTAAAATTCAGATACATACCTATACATTCAACATTGTTACGTTAGTAAGTCAGCAAAACCTCTTTATAACGGAATCACTTGATACCAACTTATTTTTAGGTTGGAGTTTTCAGTATCGGAAGACTAAAATATACGAGACATAGGTTATACAGGACTGCATGATGTTATTTTCCGTAGCTTAGACAATTCCGTCTTATAGTGGATCCGTTATAAGGAGGTTTTACTGAACATATATTAAGGGCGCTGCTCGTGCCTATTTAATAAGGGCCAATGTTTAGACAATATGAATTAATGTTGCCATCGTCCTTGGCCTTTGCGTTAGACGTAAATTATAATTAGTAAGAGTGCGGTTTTAAACGGATACCGGGCTATCTACGCACGCGCTGCAGATGAACACGTCATGACGTCGACGGCACTACTGACCTAAAAAAGAAACAGTAATTTTTTGCTCAAAATATGCTTTACAGGAAAAATTATTACAATTCGTAGAAAAGTTTGTTATCATTATTTTTTTTTTTTTAGAAAGACCATCGTTTTCCGTAGGGCGCAATGGAATTCTATTCTTTATAACGTTGCTTAAAACAAAAACAATAAAAAACAAAAAAATGTGAAAATTCGTTGTGTTCAAAATCGTATTATATGGTTTACTGAAGCTAGGCGAGGCATGATAGTTTTTCATGTAATACATGATTTTTAGCAAAAAAATAGATTACTTACAGGTCAATTCAAATAAGACTGTAATTTATCCTCAAGCCATCTGCAGGTACCTGGAGCTCTATTTTGCACAGTATGTCGACAATCGACATAAAGATAATGTATTTATTAATTTTAAGTTACTTGAATTTCTATTTCATTCAATATAAACGCCGAATGGCTTTTTGACAAATAACATGCTTGTATAGTGTAGAAAATAAAAATATTATAGCTATAGTACCATAATAGTTATGAAAGGACAAAAATATATATTCGCGAATGTAATATCGTACATAAGGACATATAAAACTTGGATGTACCTACTTATGAATCTTTAGCCATATGTATGGACATTTTTCGTACCACACTCATACATAATATATGTTATTTTATTCGTACGATTACATCATTGTAAGTATGACGATACTTCATATTCGTAACTATAAAAAATGTTTAACACATAATGCATGCAAATGTTGTATAAATTGCCAATCCGGTATTACGCAACCACTTTTGTGTACGAAAATGTATCGTCTATACGATTGACATCCGTTCTACATGGCATAGATTTTCAAACGTAAATTAAAAAAGTATTAATGTTTTTTATTTATACTAGATATAATATTATACATATAAAATACGGTCGTTATTATATATTTATGTAAAATATTTTAATTCCAATCAAAGTTAAACATTAATTGAAGTAGGTATTCGCTTCTGACGTGTACTAGTGGAGTGTAACATAGGGTCCAAGCAGCGTTGCTCAGGCACACCTTAAATATGGTTGGGTGGGTCCCGATAGAAGAAAAATAGGACATTTTAAAGATCGGTATAATAATATTATGAGGGGTCACCTGAAATTATTTGAGCAACATCAATTTTTTGACACCGTCACTATTACTGGCACACACATGAATTGTTTTGTATGGATCACTAAAATCTATTTTTTATACAAAATGATGTATACATCATCTTAACAATAATAAATAAAAGTTGTAAATAATTTTTGTATGTGCCACAAAATAGAGCCTCAGTGTGCGTAAAAAATCAGTATAAAAACATTATCCTGTGTATCTGTTATTATCCTTTAAAAAATATTATAGTTCTATAAATCATGATGAATAATCAACAGAGAATAAATTATGATTTCGATTTTGTCTGTTTAGAAAACAAATCGAACTCGATATTAGCAAATCGTCGAATAATGAAGCTCCAGTTAAAAAGTAACGTATAATTATGTGATATTATTATATTATTATATTAGATACATAGTATTAATTTTATTTAGGGCCCCGAGCCTAAATTATTTCATTTAGATTTCAGGTATTACAATTTTAAAAACGATTCCATTTTTTACTATTTAATTATACTTTATATAATATCGAGTGTTACAAAATTATTTATGTTATTAAAATAATAAGTTATTCGATATTTTATATTAGAATGTAATAACCCACACATTTAAAAAAAAAATATAACAATTTATAACAGTTATAGTGATTTTGTTTCAATAGTAAATAGCCAATAGGTTACTCCGTCAATAACTCAATAAATTCTTTATTATCATATACATAATAGGAAATGTATGATAGGTAAATGTATTCAAAATATACGTATAGATACTTCTAATTAAAATAAAGTTATCACAATAATTATACTATTATAGTATTATGATGTATAAAATATTTCTTTGATTTTAATCGAAAAGAGTAGGTATATGTAATCTATAGCCTATAGGTACCTATAGTGCGTTGTACCTATGTATATGTGATGAGAGGGGAACGAAAATCGGGGTTGGTAGCAAAAACTCACCCATTAGTTTGGGGGTTGTATCTAAAACGAAAAAAAACTTTAAATTAAATGGTCACATCTTTTTATTTTTAGTCAATAGGGAGGATTTTTAGGAAGGGTCTGGGTAAATAGTCCTGTTATTAGGGGATTTTGGTAACTTTCAGATTAAAAAAAAAAAATCGTTTTTAAAAATAGTTTCTTTTTCCAGGATTGCCGATTTAATTGTATATTCTGCGATATTTTCAAATGCTTGGATTTTTTTTTGCTGTACCCCGAAGTTGTAGTCCGTATGTTCATTTAGGCTTTAAATTAAATAATAATTTATTCGGTGTTGTTTTATTCTATGAAAAGATTATGATATTTTTCTGAGCTATTGCATTATTTAGATCTAATGACATATTGGATGAATCTTTTGTCATTAAATACTCATTATTACTAAAAGTATAAATGTTTTTGGGAAAAAAATTCACTCGATTTTTAGTTGTTAATAACAACATTTTTAAAAAATATATTATTTTTACTTTTAAGTTTTTTACATTTTTGGATGACAACATGCAGTTTTAATTTCATAATCCAAAGCAGAATATTTTTATAAATATTTTGCTTTTGAAGTTGAAATTAAAGCTGAATGTTTAAATCGAAAAAATCAAAAACTTAAAATATTTGGCTAAAAATTATTTAAAAATATAATTTTTTGATAAAAAATTTGTAATGACTCATTTATACCATGTAAATAAATATTTTTTTAAAAACATTAATACTTTTTGAGTAATCACCCGGTACACATTTCAGTAACTTATTTGAATAATTTATTTGGTAGGTATTGAGTAATTATTAAAAATTCAGTTGATTCAAATAAGAACTGTAAACATTTTAATTGGTTCATATTATTGTTATTTGTTTCTCAGTATTAGAGTTTGCCGCTTATGACGTTTAATGCATATAACGGAAATATCAGAAATGAGTTCTGGTTAATAACACTGATTAATATTTTAATATGAAATATTGATAATAAGATAACAAAATACATTGTCGAACTTTCATTTTTGTTTATATTTTATGTTTAATTCTAACCTTTGTAAAAATGACAAAATTATCATTTTTATTATCAATGTTAGTTTTTGATGGTAGGTATTTTTGAATTTACATTTTGAGTTAGCTAGGTCTTGAAGTAAAATAAACAAAACAATAATGTGCAATAAAAAGGTACGCATAAAATCATTTACCATAATATTATATAGTTTCTAGTCTCTACCATCTAAAACTTTTATTGTTTGTACTTAAAATGTAAAATTTACATAGTATCTACTGCAGTTCTTAAACTTTTATTATCATAATATAAATACCACCTACAAATTTCAAAAATTTGCTCGTTTAACTTGAAAGTATATTATAATATTCAATAGGTATTAATAATAATTCTAATTTTTTTAACAGTACCTATGAGATTTCAGCGAACCACTTTCACCATTTATTGAGAATCACAGCATTAAATAATATTATTTAAACCAGGCTTTAAATAAAGTTACGGAAAGTGTCTAATTGTAGTAATTTGCTAATTATAAATTTTTTTTTATGAATTCTTGAAATTAAACATTATTATGTCTTTTATACCGTACAAAAAAGAAACATAATCTAATGAGAAATTAGCTTATAATTCGTTTACCACATAAATATAATATAACCTATTATATAATATTTGTTTTAATATTTTACCTATATGATTTTGACCTTCCTCTGTTAAAGCTGTGTAGTTTAAATGTTTAATCAAATCTTGTTAAACCTTGTTAAACTTGATCTAAAATAACTTACTCTAATATCATTTCAAACTGAATAGGGTTCAGTTAATGTATTATGTATTTCTGATTTTTTTTTATAATAATAGTTAATACACGCAATATGCAAAACATGTGATTTATGAAGAAGTAACATGAATGTAATTAATAAGTAATTATTAATATATTATAATCAATAAATAATTATTAGTGCTTGGGACTTGAAAATTACTAAAATATATATGTGTATTTACGGGCTTAGAACAGTTCACACATGATTTAAAAACATGTCCTCTTTTACACAAATATCATATAAAACTTTAATTAGTATCAATATTCTTATTAAACTTTAATGAATTCGATTAGGTATAGTAATACTCTTAAAACTACAAAAATGATAAAATAGGTAACTTAAGGTAACACTTATTATACATGGCAACTTACCTATTATGTTAATACATTTTTTAATAAAACTTAAAACTGTTCTTTTTCTAATGTTTCATTTAATTACTTACATAATATTAATTGCAAGGCAAATACAAGTATATTTATTTCATTATAAATATTAATTATTATTTATATCAACTGGATATTTGAAGAACACTAGAATATAATACAAAGAACTCTAAAAATAAATGTTTATAATGTATTTAAATTTTTATTTTTACAATGTAAATTAATCTTTATTTTGTATTTCGGAAGTGTGGTGAAGGTTCCTGTTGGCGAAATGTTCGTTCTTGTCTAATTTGAATATTTGATATTATGTATCGAGGTATTTGGGGCTTAATTGTCTTTTAAGAATTGTGTATAATTAGTCTTTAGCCTTTTGGCGTATTAGTGGTTAGCTTGATTCCATTTAAAGAGTTTTTATAGATTGATCATTGCCATAAAGTATTTATTTAAATGTCTCATAAAGTAGGTCAAAGTTATTTACGGAATAAATAACTGGCTGGAAGTAGAGGTAGATCCTAGTGATTCAGAATCCATAGTTTCTGTCTCAGTAGTCAACGAATTGAATATAACATAATCCTTTTGGTGAGGTTAATGTTTTTTGTTGTGTGGTAAGAGGAGATCGTGGTATAACGGCCAACGTTGATGGTTTTGGACAGACCATGATTTATTTGTATGAGAATTAGAATTTATTATTTGGAGGATCGTTAAAATTATTTTGATGGTTTTCTATACTTGTTTTCTGAATCAGAGGATGTACGCTATTGGCGTAGTATGAGGCATTGCGATATGACTTTCGGAGTAAAATTTTAGATTGATGATAGCCGATAGGTATACCTAGTTGTTCCGTTGGACGAGTTAAATTAATTGAATTAAATTAATTAACAACAATTGTTATCATTTTATGAAACTTAATATGGTATAGTAATTGCTACCTACAGATTTCCGTGTATTGATATTTGATTGCTGGTGTTAGTACGATTTTAATGATTTTAATCGAAAAAAAATTAATAACCAAGTGTGTTTAACTCATAATAATCAGAATTATTATTATGCAGAGTGGTGTAAATATCATGTATATATAATATCATTAGTGTGGTCGGCTATCATCGAGAGACAATATACTATTTTGATTTGATAATTTTTATGTTATATTACTATTGACTATCAATTACTATAATCTAAATATTTGTTAAGAAAAATAATTGTACAGTACAGTTTGTGTCAAATTTGTCATTGGCTGTCTAGGCACTGTAATATTCGTGTCATATTTAAATTTGATAGTAAATCATTTAATAAGAAAAATGATTCTGAACAAAAACAGGTTGTCAACCTATATTACTAATTATATTGTATGATATTATATAAACTGATATAGACTTTACCATATAGCCATTTTAAAATAACAAAAAATGCAACACATATAATGTTTATTTTTATTTTTTTGTAGTGTCTTGAAAATAATTTCTAGCTTATTATTAGACATTAGCAAATAGCAATGCATCTTTAATTCTAAAAAAATATGCAAATCAAGGCTATGGAAGTTTGAACCATTATGATTTTTTTCGGTTTTGGTTTAAAAAAAAAATTCAGTATTGATTCTGAAAACTGCAAAATAAATAGGTTCCTGTTATTACCGGTAGGTACTTATAGGTATATTTTATTATATATATATATTATAATATAGCCTATCTTACACCAAATTCCTCTTTAGAACTTTCCTCATATTCCAATTGTGGAGCATATGTATTTAATAAGGACATTTAAAACCTTATCCAAAATAAATTTTAATAACTATTATTTTTTTCACCTCTTTTACCGCGTTTCCTTAAATATTTTCATTATCCATTACACCATTACGACTAGTCTAAACTAATCTTATACCTTCACTATTTTCATTTGATTACTCTCCCCTACATTTTGTTTTCTTCACATTCAAAATGTTTGAGTACCTTTATTTCTTCAATACATATTTCAATGACCCTACATGTATGTACCTATTATCATTGTGTACCCGTCACCCTAAAGTTGATACGGTTTTAAGCCATGTACAATGTACTCACTGATAAACCAAGAGTTTGATTAGCCCATTAACATAACTGGTGCAAATAACACCGCACAAACTGTTCGTCTGGTTCCTCCACAACAAACTTTATGGTTACATCTCAGATTTTTCTCCATTCTCATCTAAGATGGTACAAACAATT